TCCCCAGAAAGAAACCTTTTTCATGGGTGACGTCGCAACCCCCCCAGTGATGTCGCTATAATTTGCCCAGGCATGGGGCCCTTCAAGAGGAATCTGATCTTCCAGGCACCCTCCCACAATGCTCATCCCTTGCCCATTCACAATGTTCACAAGAGCGTTGGTATCTTGTAGCTGCTTACAACTTCTGGCAAATCCAGTTACTTGCGAGTCAGATTCGACACACTTCTCAAGCTGAACATTTGGGTGTCGACGGCTACAGCCAGGCTTCCATATTTTGCCCAGTCTTGAAACTGATCTGGGCAAGCGCCAAGTTGCTGCCGCCTTTTGAACGACCGCCGCTCTAGCGAGGCACGGCCGGCTTCAACTCATTCTCTATAGATACTCAGCAAAGCCATCCAGATTTGGGCCCAGCCAGAACGGGACTGGTGAATGTGGAGGCAAGCATGAGTTGGACCTACGGCAAATTAAAGCAACCACCTACAGGGCTTCCTAGTGGCCACTCTGGATTCACTCCTTTCCAAGAGTCCGCCTAAACTAGATAACCCACTTAAAGGGGACGCACGTGGAAACACCTGGGGTCAGAGTAATCTAACAAAACAATGACAGTGTTTGACAGTCACCCGACAAAAGTCTTGAGACTTGCCTGGCTGTATATTTCAGAGCCGGCAAATCCAATATTGGTTCCTCAGTGATTTCTTTCCAAAACTAGCCGATATGCCTCAGCCCAGCTTCAAAACTAAGATCTCGACGCCCTTACGGCGATCCCATCTGCCCATCCTGGCGGAATGGGGGCCCAACCTCAAAGGGGTCCTTGGACCAAAAGGATCTTACAGTTCCATGGTAAGTTTTAAGAGATTCTCCTAGAATAAAACTTGAAAAGGACACACACCATCAATCTCTAGAGGAATGTTCTTCTGGGGTGCCGAAAAGATCCCTCGTTCTGGATGACTTTATCAATTCTGATGGCACCTCACGGCTGAGATGTTGAAACCAGCTCTGCCAGGCAAACACAAAGGGCTGGTTCTACATTTGGTGTGTCCTAGCAAGTGGGGAACGTCCTTGAGAATGCTAATCCTTCCAGGGGAAGCAAACACAAAACCAACCAGTCTGAGGGTTACTTTCGGACACGCCCATTCTCTTCACCGGTCGTTCTTGGCAGAAACCAGTTGCTTTGCCATTTTCTCAACACCCGGTGCCAGGGGGGGGCGTCAAAGAGAACCCTTTGTGGACTCTGGTGCCCAAGGTGCAGAACACTGGGTTTCCCCTGTTTCCTACTTTAACAATGGGCATCCACGGGATCTGACGGGAACAAAAAACATTGCAATGCTTTTGGCCCAAAGGCTGGAACCCACTGGACAACTCTTTCGGGTTGTCCAGAAACGAAGAAAACAACGGGGCACAAGGGCGACTTAAATTGCCGCCACTGAATCGGTCGGAGCCTAAATGAGACAGATAGAAATTCCTGAGTGATAAATAAAGGCTCTGGGAAACTAACAGATTACCCATCCCCGTTTAGATTCCCTTGAAAGAATAATGACAAGTACGGAGCTATTTCGCAACCGGCTTCAACTTCGGACCAATTCGGCACTCCGAAGTACAGGTTTGGACCCCCGAACTTGAGTTTCCACTCGTCCGGAGTTGCCCACTGCGATCAATCTGGAGAGTCTCTGCTGAGTTCCGCCTAGGATTGGATCTCTTACAAACAAATGCTTGCCCAGCGGAGCTCCTGGAACTCAGCGTGTTCACATGGCTGCAAGCCCGTTTGCTTGGCCACTTAGCCTTGCTGCTCTGTGTTATGAGCCAATGAGTCTCCAGAAATACATACTATATAAGTACATGCTCATGTCATATGTGCGTGTACATTTACATCCATACATGCGTACATGTAATGTATGATATGTAGATGACGGTTGATTTATCCGTGTATGGTTGTCAAAATCAGAGGTCCCTTGGGCGGCAGGGTCCCAAAAGTTACAGCGGATGCTTGACGTGCTGTGTACATTTGATGCAAAGCTGTTTCGAAGTTCGACGGCAAGGCGCCATGTGAAGATGCAGTAAAGGCACGCTCAATTGCTGCAAAGAGCCCACCCTGCGGGCGCCAACAAAACGACATCCAAGCAAAGTGAGGAAATTGACAACGCATGGTGCCGCAATGGCTCTTTAGTAGAAGCCCTGGTCATGTTAATGAAAGGGCTCTATAAAGCGACATGACTATCTCTATCAACCCCAAGTGAAGGAACATAGCTATGGCAAATATGCGCAAGGCACTCTAAACAATAAGAAGCATCTGCAAAACAGCTGATGGGGGCTCTGCTGGCTCCTCAGGCTTCCATCTGGAGGCGCCACAGAAGAATAGCGTATAGCCTGCAAGCCGTGGGATCGATCAACAGTGCCGTTGTGCGATTCTATTTAGGGTGAGGAAAGCGGGAGGGAAAGGTCAGGGCAAAGCCACACCCCGAGCTTGGAAATATGACAGGTTGACTCGACTGGTTTAGTTCCGGTCAGAACGCTTTGGGCAGTTGATGACCTGGTGGCTTTTGGCAAGACCAAGTCCGGCATTGACTTGCCGTTCATAAACTTGGCCCTCCCACACTGCCCAGAATGTACAAGAAAAAGAACAGCCCTTACAGAACATCATCAGTGAATCTCTCTACAGTTGCAGCCCCCTCCCCCCCTCTCCCTACTAGGTACCCAGCCAGTGTTCTAACGCCTGGCAAGGCAGCGCACAGCATCCTTTTTGCGTCAGCTTGAGTCGTCCTTGCTCGAGTCTTCCTCGCTCTGCTCCTCTTCCATCTCCTACGGCTGTGTGTCAAAACTAGGTACACGGTTGGCAGCCATGAATCTGGAAGTGACATTCTCAAAACTACTCTCTAAATGGCGGTTTCAAGAGAAACCACCCCCAGAGTAACTTTGAGAATCCCTCAACATGGAACCACTTTTCTGCTTCGCGGCTTGCTCTGGGTCTTTCCTGGGCGATGTTTAGCATTGCTTTCTGATGGTGCACACCTTTCAACACCATCGGTCTGTTTTGTTGTCTGAAACTAAGTCAACACCAGCCAGAGGCATTGCTTCTGTTGACACTCAGCCACGTGAAAACACGTGGGTACAACTGGGTTTTATTTCGACATGAAATGCACTTCCATGAGGTGCTCCACCTGGAATTCGACCAGAACCGACTGATGTTGATCCCCGATTATCTGATTGAACATGCCCCTGGTCGAAAAACAGGGGGGTGGTCCTTTCCTCTGAAGCAAACCCCCCTTCATTATGAATCAGGGGTCAAACGCGTGGGCAAAGAACTCGTTCATTCGATCCCAGCCGCATTCCCCTTGGACCCCTCCCCTTGCCTGGTTTCCACCAAACAAGCCCTCAAAGGTACGCCATGGTTGAGGAAGCCAGGTTAGCGATTAGCGAAGAGGGGTCGGGATCAACGGCTCAACAAGCAACTTCCATGTGGCTGTAGGTCAACCCTTCCTTCCTGTGTTTCTGAAGGATACTGAAAAAACCAACAACATTTCGATGCGTTCCTTTGCCGCAACACAACCAGGGAAGCCCCGAAGATTCATGTTGCACTCTGAAAGCCCTCCGCGCATGGGATGCTCGCGTTCAAGCTCGCCATTTTCCACGGCGAAAGGTCGGATTTGTTTTTCTTGCGCCCTTCGGTGCGCTTCCGTTCGGCGCGCTTCCGTCGGAAGCGCATCCCTTCGACTCGAGCGCCGCTAAGTGGAGCTAATGCCAGGTGGCGCCTTAAGGACTGCTAAACCGCCAACTGATTGCTGCAATTTTCGAAAACATCAACACGGAGTTGGGAATGATTTCGCAAACTACGAGGTCGCTTGACACTGCTGATTGAACTTGGGCTGCAGTCGCACCACGGGCCAAAGATTTTAAGCAGTGCGGCTGGCTCGGAGTTCCCCTGAGCTCGCCCCTGCCGGACGTCGATTGCACCTACCTGTGGAACCCACCCAAATTTCGTAGGTTAGACGTGGCCCCCTTCTTTGAGTCACCATTCAATTTCCTAAAGCATCCGCACGACCAAGCAGCAAAAAACCGGAACCCAGGGGGGTTAAGGATGTGTTTGGAGTTCCCGTCTCAGGCTTGGGCCTGCTGCCTTCCCTTTTCTTTTGGGGCTACGGCGACCATCCTCTTGTTCCAACCCTTTTTGGCGGCAACGCGAAGCTTCGCTGGTCTTAGCCAGAGATGAATTCTGGGCTCAAGACTTTCAGGAGCCAAAACTGAAGCCCCCGGTCGGCACCTGCCAGGTCCCCTTTTTGGATGGCTCTCAACAGGAGACTCTGAGACCAGAAACGAAACCAGGCATTTGGATGCCCCCATTTTAGTCGTAAGGATTGAACAACCTGCTGTTGGTGTCCATTTCAAGCTATGGGTTGCGTGCCCCCACATGAGCCACGATAAACATCGCTGAAGTGGGGCACTGCAAACCCATTTATGTCATGATCATAGGATACTACTCTTTGTATTTATTTGGCCCGTTCTACTACATCCGACATAGCGAGAAAAATGGGCTTGTCCTCCTGGCTGTGGAAGTGAGTCTTCCATGTCCCGAACTCCAAATTGACCATAAACAAAGCTGGATATTGTACCAAGACTCCACTGCAAACCTCATCTGCAAGTTCCACAGTCATTCCAAAGCCCAAAATATCCTGCCTGAAACAAGGGATCCCCAAGTAGCACTTACATGGTCGCATGTTCTCTCTTGACTCCCAAGCACGAAACGCATACCAATGCTTTGAAAGGGGTGCAAAAAAGAGGACCCAGAAGTTTGTCCCTCTTGGCAGTTTTTGGGTTTCCGTTTTGCGGAGGAACCAGCGACATTGTTCAGAGGATTTCATTCATGCTCGTGCTTTAAACAGGACACTCTTGACCCCCTCCAAGAGAAGACAAATCCAACACCCACTGACCCAATCCATCCAGCGCCTTAAACAGTCAACCCACATGAACCATGTCAGCTCTTGTTCCCCCTGAACTCCCGGTGTGGATTAAGATGGCCGTGCCTGGGCCCCGAACTGAAACTGCGGGGCGGCGACCTCGATGTCCGCATCGTCCTCCAGCGGGAAATACTTCTCTAAGATCTTCATAGCCTTGTGGTAGACCTGGGTCAGGGAACTGAGCCGCTTCTTGGCCCAGCTCTCGGTACAAAGCAAATGCGGTCAAGGTCTGCTCCTACAACGTTAGGTCTTGAACGGATCTGGAAAATTGGGGAGACCCCGCAAAACTGTGATGGGGTGTGGGTTTACCCCCGCCCGCTCCCCCCTGCAAATGAACGTAGCCCACAAAAGCACATGCTTAGACTTAGATGAAAACTCTATTGGGAAACCGACCCAGCCGACGAAAACGCTGCCAGCTGCCCGCCCAAGCGGACGGCCTCCTCGTTGGGGTCCTCCTGAAGGCTCTCGATCTTGGGCAGCCCATCCTTGGCGTCATATCGGGCCCCGAATGCTCAACCCCCTCCCTGCGCCATGGACAGTTCGATTTGTTGTGTTGCAGTCTCAAACCCTAAAAGGATCTGCAAGTAAGAAAGAAATACCCGAAATGAAGGTACCTGCAAAATAGACCTTGGCTGTCCGCTATTTCCCTCTCCACCTGTCTACGGTTTGTGCAACCACCTTCTTTTCGGTTCGGGCCTGCGAAAAGCACCTCGAAGCGTCCATCCTCTGGTTTGCTCAGAAACCCGCACCAAACAGCTGGCCAGCAAAAAACACCTCAGGCCAAAACACAACCCTACCCAAAAGTGGAAGTAACAGTTATCTTAAACGACAAAGGGCTTTGAATGGTCTTAGTCAACGCATCTGTCAACCAAATGTTCTCTCGTGTTTTACCAAGTGGTCACTACAAGATGCGATAACTTGACGCAACTTGAAGCTAGGGTTCTATGTTCTTAGGGCCGCACTGAAATCCCAAAGTCATTTTGTAGTGTCTTGGCTATGAGTCCTGCCAGTGCTCCAAATGGCATCACGTGTTGTGAGGAAAATGCAGGGCTCTCAGCAAGGCTCTGAACAAAGCTCTCAATAGGAGGAAGCATTATGCACCCACACATCAGCCTCTGTCCTTATCTTTCTCTCTTCTTTACTCTTCTCTAACACCAGCAGGAACTGCCCACAAAATGACAGTGTCTGGTATTCAATGCTGCTGCTACAAATGACATTGCCCTGAGCCGGTGGCCCTGAACACAGCATTTTGTAGTACCGGCGCTGCTGCATCGCAGCATTTTGTAAAACATTAACCCCTAGTCAATTCATCAAGAACTTCAGGAGCTTGCAAAACGCCGTAAAATCCGGCGAAAATTAAATGAACGTAAGGATCTAAACAAAATACAACACATAATAGCTAACATAGCTTCAACCAAGCCGAAACATTACAAATTGCAATGCCTACAAAGTGACATAACCAGGCACAACCCCTCAACACGGCTTCCGGGAAAAACAAGAGACACAAACATAGACGCAAAGACACATACACAAACACACGCAAACACACAGACACGCAAACACATGCACGCAAACATGCAACGACACACGCGCACACACACACACACACACACATGGGTGTCTGCCGGGCATCTGCGCTTTCCACCTTGTTGGCGAAGGGATTTTCTGGGAGGCCCAGCTCCTGCTGCTTGTCCTCCAAAGCCACGCAGTTGCTCGGAATCGAACACAAAAGTGGATTTCCATTGGGAAAAAAGTGGGAATTATTTGTACTTGACGAACACTATTTTTTCCCTTGGGGGAGGGAAGTAGTGGATTTCAAACAGGAAGAAAAAACACCACTGCAGATCTGGGGAAATCAGATCGATCGCGGAATCGGAGGTTGGTTTCATTTGAACCACAAAAAGCCGGATAGCACCCTCTGACGACTGATTGGACAGTACCTGGGTTTTGGGACATGGGAAACACTTTGGGTTTTGGACATTGAGAAAAGCAGTCGTTGGGGGCGCTGGTGGTAGCCGCAACGTTTACAGGGGGGTTTATCGGGGGCAACTACACTCGGCGGCGAAAGTCAGTGCACGACAGCTTACAAGCAAACCTGCATGAGATGCAAGCGCGTTCACGAGGTCAGAGAAGTCAGTGCAAGACTTGCCAAATCCCACTGTGACGCAGTATGTCAAGACGTCCATTTTTAAGCTCTAATTTGGACGCGCGATGTGTAAATCCCACTGTGACGCAGCATGTCAAGATGTCCATGTTTAAGCACGCGCGATGTGTAAATCTCACTGTGGCGCAGTATGTCAAAGTGTCCGGTGTAAAGCGCTAGTTTGGACGTCCGATGTGTAAATCCCAATGGGACGCAATAGCATGCGCAGCTCGGAAAAGTATCAAGTTGGAGCACCGGAAGCAACAAATTCCAATGGGACGCGCTACTGGAGAAAACAGGCATGATGCCGAACATCCCCATGGAACAACATTAACGAGGTCAAAACGAGGTCAAAACGAGGCCCGCACAAGGTCCAGAGACTTGGGCCAAGCAGAAAACTCGTGCGCCGCGCTCAAAACTGGCACTCTCCAAAAACACTGCCTCCAGTCCGCTTGCAAAGTTCGCTCAAATCCCAACGTAAGGACAACAAGAAGTCTGCTCACACAAAATCTTGCCGCATGGAATTCGAGTTCAACGGTAGCCATATATATATATATATATATGTAAACCCCCACCAGGACGCAAGCCGCGCCGACTTCCTGAATCAGTACCCTGCATGGCACACGAAGTTGGACGCAAACGCACCGACTTTCACCGGAGAGTGTACGTGTCTAGCAACCAGAGTCACAAAACAAACATCTGGTAGCAAAGGGGTCAGGCTCTAAGACTCGTAAAGATGTCTCCCACATCCCGATTCGCTAAAAAACATCAACTGCCTCTAAAATCCTAAACAGGCCAGACTAAACGCCCCTCAGCAAGCCCTAAGCACCTCAAGCCCCACTGTTCGAAAACCCGACCCCAGAGTCCTTGCCCACCTTCAAGATGTTCTCGAGCGCTTCGAGCGCCACGCCGATGATCTTGGCGTCCGACACCGTGAGCAGATCCACCAGAGGCTTAATACAGCCCGTGTCCACTAGGTAGTCCACCTGTGATAGGCAGGGAATGAGAAATGGAATGAACCTGGGGATTCCCTGAAAGGACACCATAGGGAAGGGTTTATAGGGGTAGTCCACCTGCCATTTGTGTTTGATGACCTTGGGCTTGAAGGGAGAAAAGGAAACGCGCACCATGAAATTTGTGTTTGAGGACCCTTGGCGTGCGTTCACCTAAGATGCCAACCAATGACCGTTGAGCGGATGACGATCCATAGCGGCCAAGTAAACGGGGGACTTTGATCACGCTTCCTGTCAGTGGGCAAGCTGCCATAGGTCACTCACGGGAAAGCGAAACACGCCAATGAAAACCTAGGAACAGGCCCAAACATCCAAGCTGCTTCAGACCAACAAGCGCCACGAGTAAATCATATCAATTACGCCAAGAAAACTCAGTGATGAGTGACCAAACACCACCCATGCAAACAGAGCGTATCAACATGGCCACCACAAAGGTACAGTGTTATCAACAAACGGGTGGGGGGATCACCTCCAATCCCCACTGCCAGGAGACAACTTGGATCTTCCCACAGGGCTCCTTATATGTCCGGAACCTGCAACCCGCTCACCCCCTTTGGAGGGACCCCTGCAAGACTAACACAGGGATCGGCGTGTTTGGGGGGTGAACTTGTGGTTTGTCTCAAAAATTGGGGGGCACCCCCAACATGGTGGTTCTTTCGTTTTTATCCTTTCAAACCAGCCTGAAAATGGGTACCCTCAACACAAACACGCACCCAAGCAGCTAGAAACTGACTGGAGACGTTGATGTAGGACCAAGCCCACCCGCCCGCGTTCGCCGTCGCCCCGTTGCCCCGTCGCCTGCTGCGGTGAGCCCCCGGAGGTGGCATTGCTGATGGCCCAGGCCGCCTCCTAAGTTTGCTTCCCCTTACGTGGCACTCAGCCTGGGTTCCACTGCTGCCACTTTTGGACATATGGCCATGGGTCAAAATCCAAATCGTACCCCCAGTGCACATCCCAATCCCCACTAAAATAGGTTCCAAAATGGGTGGCGCACCTACCCCAAAATGGTACCATTGTGTGAACGGAAATTCAGGGACTGTCCTTCTTGATGTCGAAGTCCGCCATCTGAAGCAGATGGATCACCGGGGGCAGCAGCCCATTGTTGATGACCTGGGGTCAAATGTGGGTGTGCTTCTTTTTTAGGGTAGCCTGTTTGGGGTTGTTCAAAGGGATCCAACAGGAAACCGTCGATGTTGCCTGTTTAGGCACATACCCGAATGACAGATCCCCGATGTGTCCAAGCAAAATGGAAAGAGTCTAGGGATGTTCATGAAGAAGTTGGTCTCGAAGCACGGAGGAAGCCAAACATCAACAAGTCCCAACCTGCACAGGGAAGGTGCCAAGATGAGCAGTTCATGGCCTCATAGAGGTCCTTGACATGGGAGAGTTGGACAACATTCAACTCGCCCAGGATTTCAATCTGTTCCATACGCTTGATGAAGGGCAATGCAAAATGTTTCCAAAAGTTGACCCAAGGCTGGGGTCGAAACAGACATCTCAATCGTAAGCTGGCAAGTAGACACTTCCCCCTGTCAGAAGTTATTACAACTGACGTTGAAAAAAGTATCTGCGAGTCAAAGCCAGGGACCACATGTTTAGTATCTCTCCGTGGTTCACTGATCCCTCGCAAAAGTTTGACTAGTGGAAGATGTCTCAACTCCCTCAAGCTACAAGTTTACAAGTGTTCAGGGTCTGGCTGGGAGGGGCCGAGCTCTGGCAGTCTGAGTTGTTCCAAGCCGCAGGGAACCAGCAAACATTTACGTCACTGAACATCTGGAGATGGCAAACTTTCTGCTCGGAAGCCGGAAGGTTGCTTGCTTTGAGAGCTCAGTTCACTGGATTTGCCAAACATGCCGAAACAAAAGCGCTAATGTAAGGGGCGAATTGATGACACATGAAATTATCCTATGAGGCTATTTGGTTTCAATCATACCCCGCACCCCATTCTAGTTCTTCAGGCCCTCGTATTACATGTTACTTCACATGTTGTGTTTTCTCACTAAGGTGTGTTGATTTTTGAGATGGGCACGCCGAAATATGATGCAAAAATGGTAGCTTTCCTTTGGCTGGAAGCTGATTTCGTGGTCTTTGGTCAAAGTCCGCCCAACCTGCGTGTTTTCTCTAGGTGAAATCACACCATTTTATGGGTGTGTCTCCAAATGGGGAACCTTCAGATTGTTAAGCCCCTTGGTTTTCCTTTCAAAGAACAACCAACAGGGTGCCAACTCACACAACAATACAGATCTAGGATCGATAAAAATCCAAGGCATAGGAATTCCACAATCCATTTGGAGAAATCCCGTATGAGTGTGCGAGGACCGCTTGGACATTCTTGAATGAGGTTGATGTTCACCAACCATGTTGGGGGCGTGTTTACCGGGAAAGCACGCAAACCCACACACACACACACATGCACCCAATAGGTTGTCAACCCCCAGCCTTGACCCCCTCCCTCACTCCCTGGCATCACCCACCAAAAGCAAAATCACGTTGGCTTGGCCCAGGTGATAGTTCCCTGCCCCCCAACAAAGTCTTATTCCCCTGAGCATCACCCCAAAGCAATGTTTTGACCTCCCAGAATCAAACATGGAACCTGAAAGGGATTCCTGGAAGCTTTCATAGGGGTTGGTTTCCCATTCTGTTCAACCCATCGTTCCTTTCACAACCCACCCGTTTCTCCTGAAGTTTTCGGTAGCTACCTCAGGAGGATTCGACCGAACATTGAACAGTTGCCCCCCCCCCCCCCCCAAATCCATGCTTCTTAGGTCAACTTGGTTGCCCCCAAACCCGTGTTTCTTAGGCCAAAGTGGCTCTTCATTTTCCGGCCGAAAGCGCTTTCGCTTCCAGGCGCCTCTTGGATCTGCTCCCGGTTCCCCGCGGTGATGTTGGAGATGGTCCAGCAGCTCTCTTTACCTTCGTTGATCCCTTCCTAAACCTTCATCCAAGGGAGGTGGGGAGCCCTAGATCCTTGGCTTTTCCAGGATAGTTCCCCCTCCATAGCACCATTTGTGGGCCATGAGAAGTTGACGACTGTTGGTGGGATATGCCACAAATCACAAAAACAAACCTAATTAAATATTGAATCTATGATCATCTAAAACTCAAAAGCTCTAAAACTCCAAGCAACTCAACCAACAGTCGGTGGCTGGACGCCAAGTTACGGATGGCCTTCTTGGCGTGGGACAACAACTTCAGCAAGCTGGGCAATGCCCCGCTGTGCAAAATCACCTGAAGGGAAGATCGGTGCACCCGGAACCAACGGACTTGTTTGGTTCTCAGCTGGCCGTACTGGACCCAGGTTCTTTAAGTCTCAATATCCAAAGACTAAAGAGCATGGTTTGGTGTGTGTACGTGTCAACATAGGGGGACCCCCAAAATTCTCAAAAAACAACGTGGGCGAAACCTAAGGCAGGGCTCCTTGCATTTCCCCCTCAAACATCACCCCAGAGAGAAACTCATCCAAAGTTGCCAAGAGGTGATGTTTAAACCGGCAGGAAATCGGGACCCCAGTAGCAGCGAGTCGTCGCGCCTGCGTCTGGTTGTCGTCCCCAGTGACAATGTTCCCCACCGCCCGCAAGGCGGGCGTCTGCACCAGCGGGGAGGTATGCAAAAGGAGTTCCACCAGGCGCCGGCACACGCCGGCCTCAGGCTGAACAACCGACGACTCAACCCAGTTGAAATGTCGGTGTAAACGTGTGTTCCTTTTAGGATCCTTGAGCAATTTTTGAATCACCATGGTTTGAACACCTGTTGTTCAAAGATTGTCCTGCTTACACATGGCGCCTGACAGGGGGAGTTCATGAGGAAACTATCTTCCAGGTACCCTCCCACAGGTGCTGTGTGTAAACATCCTGTTCAAGCATTCGCCTTCGGGATCCTCTTCAAAACCATGGTCACAACACCTCCCGTTCAACCATAATTCTCCTTTGAGGGGGGGGGGGGGGAAACGGCAAAGACGCCTGTTGAAATTCAAAGGCGTCCATAGTCTCGATGGTTATGAAATCAGATACCCTCCCTCACACAAACGTGGCACCTGTGGGAAGGTACTTGGAAGATCACTTTGCTCTTCAAAGGACCCCTGTAAGGTGCCACGTTGGTGGAAGGGTAACCCTTCATTATGGTTGGGATTCGTGGTTTGGATTGGTGGCTTGGGCATTTGAACCCTTGCTTCTTGTAGAGGATGCAAGGGAACCCACCCCCTAAGCTCCAAACCATCGCTTAGAGTGAAGCTAATTAAACAAATGTTTGCAACCACCGCGCCTGGATGACTGCGGTGATGCGCTCATTGGGGCCATCCGACAAGTAGGACAAGGCCCAGCACGCATCCTTGAGATCGACCAATCTCAGAGAATGACAATAGCTCACCAACACCCAATCAGAGAAAGACAAGCATCGCAATGAGCACACAAATCATGACATTCATACTGAATGATCACTCTCATGATCATTAACCATACTCATAAAGCATGGGCTTATAAGGGGGTCCCGGGAGGAAAATGGTCCAGGTCACTCTCAGATTCCGTGCTCTTTTTTGAGAGGGTACTCCCCTGCAAGTCGACATGGAATCTGAAAGACTGGCGCATTTCCCAGAAGGGCACCTCTACAAAAGGATTAGTTTGTGGGAGGTCCATCTTTATTTGTAGGGGTGTATGTGTCGCTTGAAGCCAGCGGCGGGGAGGACGACTATGCCGATGGCAGTGTACTGTGCAAAAACAACTCCGACAGCAGGGTTCCTCAAAGGATGCATCCAACATCCACTTGCTCTACAGGGGGATTATCTAAATCACCTCGTAAAGGTTTTTGATTGGCCCAACCTTGTCGGGGACCCTGCACAGGGTAGGAATTACAATTGCCGTGAAAGCACAGGAAGGACTTTGCAAGGATAACTTCAAAGTGGCTTCCCGGGCATCCCAGGAACACTTTGCCTCAAACAATCCACAACCCTAACCGCGGGGCAAAACTGGAAAATCGCCAGCAACTATCACATACACTCTCCTCCGACAAACATGAAAGTTAACAGGAAGGTTCGAAAAAATAATAATGATAATAATAATAATAATAATAATAATAATAATAATAATAATAATAATAATAATAATAATAATAAACCTTCCTTTTGGGCAACCGTCCTGTCCACTTCCATGCTTGCTGGACAAAGGGTAAGCCAAATAAACAAGAGGCAAAATATGGGAACACCAGGCAGTAATAAAGACAAGGCAAAAACACGGGACACGAGGACAACCTCAAAAACAAAGTCAGCCAACAAAAATATTGAGTACCTGGTACCTAGCACAACTCCCCACACAAATCTTAAGCTTGGGTGACCCTAACTGGTTCTAACAAGTGGGTCCTAGGATGCTACACATGATTGTCGCTTGTCGGAAGCTGGAACCCCTTTGTTAGAACCCTTTAGGATCCCCTGATAAGCCAAGGAAAGCATCTGTCAGCACTTCCACATCAGAGGAGTAGATGAGCTGGGACAGCGTGCCCAAGGCCGGAGACACCCACTCGAAGGGTGGGGGCGGCTTACCACGGCAAAGATTGGACAAGGTCCAGGTTGCGTTCCGCATCATCGAGGTCTTTTCCTGGGCCAGCACCATATGGGTACGCTCACCAAAAGGTGTCATGTCCTTGATTTCAATCCACCTCTTTGGGAGTGTGCTTTTTGGAGGGTACCATCTTCAGGTTGGCTTAAATGGAAACCAACAGGAAGCCGCTAGTCTTGGGGCTTCACTATTTTGACACATACAAAGTGGAGGTGTTTCTCTGGTGTCCTTTAAAAGATAAACCAATACCTTCAGAACAAAAACGAACATATATAGACCTGGAGTCACTGCAGATCCAACACGTGCCCCTACGTTTTACAACCCTCTGCCAACAAACAGGGACACATCAATGAAGTGTTTTCTTTAGATGTCCTGATCATAAACTTGGAAGGGAACCCTTTTGGATGGTGGCTCTATGGAAACATATGGAAACCAAAAGGAACCATTTGCAGTTTCTGCGGATTCCACTGGAACCTATTTGATTTCGAATTTTCACGGGAACCTCAAACAGGGTTGGACAGGAATCCCCATCCATGGTGTGCATCATTTCGTGTCCATTGAATTTCTCGCCCATTTCAGGCGGTTTCGAGTGTCGGAATCCCGCAAGACTGTCATCACCGGATGCAGGCCACCGCTCTGCAGAACCAGGTCTCGGAAGTTGGGGGAGTCTCCTGAACCGGATGTGACCGAATTTTGTTTCATTCCCACAGTCCATGGCTTTATGCATTATGTATGGGTGTGTCTCTTTTTGAGGGTACCCCTGTTTTGGTGGGTGTAAAGGGAAACCAACAGGAAACCACAATTTGGGGCCTCAAAAAAGGCTCGCCCATATACCAACTGGAGGGGACATGTGGAAAGTATTGCATGAACTGGCATTTTGACACTTCAAGAGCATTGGTATTGGGTGCATGTCTTATGTAGGTTGGGGGAGCCATTGTACTTTGCCCAAGGTTTAGGAGTCACAGAGCCTGGCGAAAGATGGGGGCGTCTCAACATAAAGAGCCCTTGTTTGATGGTTTGGAAGGGAAGCCTGAGCCAAACCAACCACCCTGAGGGAGTTCCTATATTTTGGACACGCCTTATGTGAAAACATCAATCATTTGTGTGCTGGGGAACATGTATTTCTACAACATAAACGACGCATGCCATGCCTTGCTTGCCGTCCAAAGAATGTCCGTGTCCCAGCCCAAAACACATTGCAGCGAGGCCTCGATGGGGACCTCGATGGCATGAACTACGCGGCCCATGTTTGGACGGCTGTCAAGGGACAGCAAAAGGGAATCAACCAGTGGATATGTCGAAAACATCCGTTGGGTGCTAGACAAGCGCTTGATTGACTCTTCCAAAGGCCATCAAAGAGGGGACGATTGTCCAGAGCCCCTCAGAGTCAACCTTAAACCCTCCCAACAGCATCCTGGATGTCAGCCCTTTACCAAGCCTAAATGAACCCCCAACAAACCCAAGACCCGCCCTCATTGCAAGACCTCAGCAAGCCCAGCACTGACCAGCCCCGAAGAACTGAGAACTGCCACCACATCAAAGCTAAAGTCCGAGCGAGGCCGGTGATGCTGGGGATGCGGCCAACCAACCCGACCCCCAACCTGGCCACGTGGAGAATATCGCTTGTTGCCCCCAACCTGAAAGCGAAGCAAGGGTTCCCAGCCAACCTCTTTATGCGACATGAGGGAGGCCTTGTGCTGAGCCGGGGCTAGTACAAAACCGGGGCTAGTAAACGAAAAAAACACCTCAACCACACGGGACAACCCGAACAAGCGGCAACACGCGTCAGAAAGGGGGAACCAACCCAAGAACGGGACCACCCACAATAAGACGGTGAGACCAAAAAGCCAAAGACCACCAGAAATCCCAAACAAAACAGAGGTTCCTCAATTGAGGCATCCCCATGTTTCAGCTCTCACGGCCCACCCAACCCCTTCGACCCGTGCGCTCCTGCGATGTTCCCCAGCGCCCAAACGGCCTGCTCCCGCACATCGTCGTTGGGAGACTGCAGGAGCTGCACGAAGATGGGCAACGCGCCATGCTCCACCACCTCACCGACCAAACCAAATCTCTAGAGTGCGGCCCTAGCCCAAAAGAAAGGATCCCCATTTTTAGATCCATATGACTTCCGGGTCAAAACTCAAGGTCTAACAACAAGTAGTTGTTTACTCAAGTTCCACTAAAACGGGACACATGGTTTAATTAGTCAGAACACATACAGCATGCTTCAGTTTCCCTTTGGGCCCTACTTGAAACAGCCTGCAGCATGATACCAACTCAAAACTGGATTCAAAGCCCACTTTTTCGAACCAACGTTCCACATAAGTTCTGCACATACCACTGTCAAGCAAGAACAACAAGAAAGCACCAATGTGTGTGAGGAGGTAAACTCCTGTTCAGTTAAAACATTCTTTTGGGCACCAGTCGTTCAAAACTCAAAGATTCAACAATTCTATCGTGTACTTGAGACCCCTCTTTCATGGAATATACCCCCAGCATCCAACGCACGTGTGTTGACGAAGTCTAGAACACCTGGTTGATGTGAATTAGCTTGGGGTTTCCTTCAGGGGCAGTCACAAAGTATGGGTAATGTAGCATTCATTGAGTTGCCATGACTCAAAGCAGAAGCTAGAAAAGGAAACTCACAAGGAATCAAGCCAAGAGGTCAACTCGAATTGGTTGCAAGTCTTAGTGAGGATGACTATTTTCCGACTCGCAACATGTCACAACAAACCCGCACTCTGCAAACATCCTCTAAAACAGGTTGGCCGCCGTATTTGGCCGAAGAACGGTATGAGCAGCCTGCAGTGTCAACATCGGATTTATTCGGAGGACCGTCCTAATCAGGGTTGGTTTGCCTGCTGGTGGGAACTAGCCATGTTACAAAATTGAATCCCCCATCAGTATTTTGCAAATTTTACAATAGTTCCAAAAACCCGAAATAAGGGAGCCCTCAGTAAAGGACCTACGTCATGGTGAGCTTGTTCAACCCCAGTGAGCTCGCCACAGATCAGTATGGATTAAACCAAAGTTGATATTGTGGACCGAGCCACTACTCGGGTCTGGTCCGCGTTGCCGGAGGCGATGTTGGTTAACACCCAGGCCGCCTCGAATTGCAAGTCCGGGCGGTTGATCTCCTCAAGCCAGTGGCACGCCAATCCGAGGTCAAACATTCGTGACCGGACCATTCGCATGCATGCATTCGCGAACTTGTGCAAGCAAAGCATGCGCACAAACACAACAACGCGGAAACACATTAGCAAAACAGAAAACAACTTAAACAAACACTGCATCATACAACGACGAATGACGAACACAACAACACACAAAAAACTCGCACAGGCAGCAACGCGCACACAGACACAAGCGCGAAGCAAACAACAGCAGAACAACAACACGTACACACACATCATGTACACATACACAAACATCAAGAAGAAAGAAACCCAACACACACACAGCACACACGCACACACAAACACACATGCGCTAGCACACACACAGCCCCACACACACACACACACAAACAGCCCACACACACACACAGCCACACACACACACGTGCGCGCACGCACACACGCACGCCCGCACGCGCGCCCGCCCGCACGCACGAACGCACGCAGGCACACAGACACACACACACACACAAAAAAAACACACACACACACACAAACACGAACACTAGCACGAGAACAAGCACAAACACCAAACAAAAACATACACAAACACAAAACAAAGACAACATCAACTCCACCGTGGAGTTTGGGCAAGTGCAAGCCTCTTAACACTAAGCAGGGATTTGTTTATCACACAACATGACCATAGTTCCTTTGATGTCCCTCGCACATTAGGGTCAAAAGGCAGACCCTGGTTGCTATCTTAAATGATTGCAACTCTGGTTGCGAAAAAGAAGAAGAAGGCCCATTTCGCGAGAAACCACCCTGGCTATAACTGGAACAGCAGGGGTTGGCAAACATAGAAGCATCGGTTGTAAGTGGGTTTGTCTCAACAAAGGGGAACCTACAAAATGATACTTTTTGGGTTCCTTTAAAAACGGGTACCCTCGCCCAAAAAAAAACACATCAAAACGGAAAACTAGACATCCAAGTGCTAGGCCTCCACCTCATCTTACCAAATGTGGAAATTTCCCAAGATGCCTGACCAGGGGGCTATCCAACGAAGAAAAACTGCAACACCCTTTGGTTAACTCCCTGTGCTGTTTGTTTCTCATTATGGTTATGCACTTCCAATGGGGCCTATGCTGGAGGGGCTATGCCACCAAGGAGGCCTCATTCCGGGCTTAGCTAATCCTAGGCAAATGAACGGATACGCCACTGGAGATCCATGAAACTGGTACTTGTACAAGATCACCTTCAAACGGGAAATGAAGGTCAAGCTGTTTGGTGGCCTTAAAGCACCCCTCAAAGTCAGCGGGCCGAGCTGATGGAAGTCATTCCCTGTTCCAGCAAGAAGCGCGGCCAGCTGAATCAGAATCAATACCTGGAATCAGATGGAAATATGCCAAGGCAATGTAACCAAATCAAAGGACTGATATATGCACCACCTCCAAGCTTTGTTTGTGGGCAATCCACCAACCATTTTGAGGCATTTCCTACAAAGATTAAGTGAAAGGATTCCTTCCAGGATAATCCAAAAGCCACCTCATTTACAAGCTGACTCTAAATAGGGGGTCTGGAAGCTAAACAACTGCCCATCCAAGTTGTTGGCTATTCTGGGGCTATTTAGCGCCCAAGTATATATATATATAGCCTGGTTGTGTTTGATCCCTCTCATCTTTTTCGGCGTTTTTTCGCAGCTCCTTGAGGAACTGCACAAAGCGGGGCACCACCCCGGCGTTGATCACCTCAGGGTGAGTCAGGCCAACTCCAGAATTCCGCTCATCCACTATGTGGCTGTGGCTCAAAAACATGTACCACAATGGCACCCTTGGCAAATGGAACCAAAGACTAAAGCCTGCGTAAGCCCAGCTCTTTAATTTTGAGCCACACCCATGTGGGAGTTTCAAGACAATGGGGTTCCCGAGGATATATTTCAAGGGAAAAGCAACAGGAAACCAACCACATTAAAAGGCCCCAATTAGAGCTGTTGTGTGTTTTGTTTTGTTTCCCCTTAACACCAACCAAATTGGCTTCGCTAAGACTATGTTCACTCAAACATTACAAATAAACTGGCCACGGTCAGCCAGGCAAAGCGAGGCGTCCCGTGTTTCCACAATATTTCTGGGAGTCTACCTTAACAAAAAGGGGCAGATCTGCCTTCCACCGAAAGGGAAGAACTATTGGGGTTTTAGCAGACCAAAGGTCCCCCGTGTAGATCTCAAAGGGAAAGCTCAGGGACCCCCGAAAGAATAGAGGGCAGCTCTGGTTATCCGTTTGATTTCCCTTCACGAGAACTCTGAAAAGGATTCCATCCAAAATACACGAAATGAACTGTCGACCAAAGGGTCATGGTAGGAAACAACCTCAAAACGAGTCCCCCCAAACAAATGACACACCCAATTATATTCAAGGGAATCAATTGCCATCGACCCAAAAGGGGAAGTTGGGGGACCCCCAAACAAAAACGAAGGTCCGATTAAGCTGTAGGACCAAATGAAAGGAATCCCCCTGCCCTAACGTGAAGCTTCCATCGAGCAGGGGGAACCCGGATTGGTACCCTCGGATTCATCAGAATTGGGCATTAGGCCAAACAGATTTGGAGTGTGAGGGTTTCACTCTGGTTTCCTTCTTGAAAACAAAGGGTTCTCAAGACACAGTAGACCCTGGCTCCAAAGCGGATTAAAAGCAAACAATCGGGCAAGCTACTATGATTCACCCAACAGAATTCTGGAATTCCCTTGCAAAAAAACAGAAAGAACAAACTGGGCTAAATCGCTCATTTACCCTTGGCCGAGCTGGCTGTGCACGCAAATCGGTTGGGGGTTAAATTCAGATTGGGGTTAGCTGGATGAGGGTTGACCCCGAATCGCCAAGCTCTCTATTTGTGTGCGCGTGCATTCTTATACCCTTTTCACCTTGGCTCAAAGGGAAGTTAAACGGAAACCAACCATTTTCTGCTCGCCCCCATTGCGACCCTGGTTTTTCTTGGACCTCACGTGGACACCCACCATTTTTTTTGGGGGGGGCCCGACGCTTGACGCCTATTTTCTGCGGAGAAAAATAGCGGGGAAAACCGCACCTCCGAGATGGGGGGGTTCTGCTCGATGCTTAGCAGCTTCCTGAACTGCTGTGTGGCGCTGAACTGGGCCTGCGCCAGTTAGCGTAGGCAACCAGACGAGTCCATGGATCCCCCAAAATGGAAGACTTGGTTCCATCTGCAGGGGCCAATTGGGGGAGCCTCCGGCTGTTTTGAGGGAGTGTAGAGTGTAGGTTCTGCTTGGGAAAGATCTCCTAAACTGGGACATGGAGAAAGATCCAACATAGCCAAGGTTGCTTGGGGGAAACTAAACATTGTGTGTATTCGGCACCCAGCTTGGGCTGGTTGATGCCCATCTTGGTATTCCAGAGTCATGATACTTCCTGCCAAGCATGCACCACCTATGGGAGCCGACAAGCAAAGGAAATAAATCATCATGAACAAAAGACATACAGTACCTTTGTCCATATATTATTGAACACATATATATATATATATATGTAGATACAGAGAATTATATCCAAGACTACCGCTTGTGGGCAACCGCATTGAAGGGCATCAAGGTCGACCGCATGGAAATCCTGTATAGAGCCATCAGTTTCGGGGCATCAAGGGCCAAAGTTAAATCAACCTTGGGTATCCAACTGGGTTCAAGGTGCCATCCACAAAATTAGCCAAAGTATACAGGGAAACCACCCCCAAAAAGATCCAAAATAATTCTGAGAACCCTTAAATTGTGTTCACGTGCATTTAAGGGATCGGTACCCATGGATTGCCTGGCCCGCGCCTGGGGATCCTCAGACATGAGTGCCTGGCTCAGCGCTGGGATCTGCTCCACACAGCTGGAGGGCCCAGAGGGGGCCATGCCCATGCCCCCCACATCCGGCTGGCCCTGCCAGATCCGACCGATTCCGACTTCGGCCGACTTCGGCCGACTTCGGCGACTTGGCGAGACATGGACCGAAAAACGTGGCAATTTGAGTCTTCCAGTTTCTGGGCTGGTGTCCGAAACCAGAAGGCGACCAGCTGTTTTGGAACGAAGAACTGGGCTTCGATGATTGTGTATAGGCAAGCCTGGGCAAGTGCGACAACGACTACGAATCTAACAATATTTCGCGCAATGTCTGATGAAAGTTCGGATGCAACAAATATGACCTAGTTTCATTTAAGGCACATCACCCTTTTTGCAACTGCCGTCATCTGCATAATTACCAGAATGCTTCCCGTACTTTCTTGGCAGGCGGGCGATAGAGCAATAAAGTGGGAACATTCTCCCCTTTGGAGACGCTCCCATACTTATTCGGCAGGCGGGCGACAAAGCAACAACCTGGGAACAGAATCCCATTTTTAAGCAAACAATCGGGCACCTGACCAGGCGGCAGGTCGTTGACCATCCGCTTCTTCATCAGGGCCTCATCTCTGGTGGCCTTCCTTAGCTGCACGGCCGCGTCTTCTCGCTTCCTTCGTGCGTCGTCGGCATCCACGCCCTTCTTGAAGGCCTTCTGTCGTTGGCTCAGTCTTTCACCGAAGCCCGACCTCAGTCGTGGGATATCTTTTACACCGGTGAAGAAAGGAACAACTTTAGCCCAGTTTTGGAATGCAAAAGTGGTTTGCGGCAAACTCGTAGGGGAGGGTTGGAAACCTCTGAACAAAACTTCGGCGGGAAAGCCGCAAGACAAAAAAGAACAGGTGCCACTGGACAAACGGGCGGCATCTCCCCGACTCTGGCAATGACTCGAGTCAAAATGGCTGCGGAACCTTTGACGATGGAAACACATCGTCTGTCCGGGCCGATCCAATGACCCAATTGGCACAAGGGTAGAATTTCGGCCTATTTCAGACTCTGATCATCTGACAAGGAAAACCGAAATCAAGGACATATCAGTTTCTACCCTTGGGGCATTGGTCATCTTATAGGGGCGAGTAACCCTGTCTGTCGAAGTGTGCCATGGTCGCAACTCCTCAACATGCGAGCCACGGTCATGGCTTCCCGGAGCAGACCCTCTTTGGGCTTACGCACCACGAGGGCATTTTGTGTGTGCTTTGTGGTTGGCTAGTCATTTCAACTTGCTTTGAAGGGAAACAGGAAACCAAAACGAACGCATCTTTCGGGGTCCCCCGAATTTGACCAAAATAGAGCGCCAATGGGTGAAACGGATGGCTTAGCCCATGGGAATCGTTTCAAACACAAAGATCTCTCTGGTCAGGCTCAATGGTACAAGGCAACCCTTGGTTGGAGCAGGGTTCCTTATACTTTAAACATCACCCTCCCAAAAGGCAACTGGATTTGTCTCTTTTGCCGGAACCCGCGCGCCCCCCCCCTCCACGTCCCCCGCCCAACAAAAACAAGGAGGCTTCAAATTGGCTTCCGCTCACAAAGAAACCCCACAAGGATCCAAGACCAATTTTCCACGGGACAGTTGAAGAGAATATACAATTTCCACACACAAATTGTGTTTGACATGTTCAAATAAGAATGTGCCATAGTAAGGCATTCTGAACATCAACAAAGTTAGTAAGATGTGTTCATCTACCAGAACGTTTTTATTGACCCTAACCTGGGTTGGGTCATTGGTTGGAGGCTCAAGGAGCAACTGACTCGACTTCGCGAATTCGAACTCGCGGTGTGTGTCCTTCGCGTCCTGCAGCGTGATCGCATCATCGTCAGCCTCGAAGCCCATGCCGGCGCCGAAGCCCATGCCGTCCTTCGGCTGAAGGGTGCACTACTTCCATGCTTGCGGATCAAGGTGGTGGAAACTAATATTTTCTGCGATACCAAAGTGCGGCATCTCAATAACTACTTGATCAAGAGCAACTTGTCCGCTTCAAATCAGATCTGGGGAATGCTCATGAGCGGCTGCCCCACAGCTAGGCGATGGACACCAAACAATGAGACATCAATTCAGGCTATTGGGGCCAGGGAGGGGAGTCCTGGTCGATTTCGTCCTCGATCTGCCTGCGCTCTGCCTGCCAAGCCGGCGAGCGACGAAGTTTACCTTCTGGCCACAGAATTGTGTCTTGTACTGTTCCCAGGTCCTGGAAAAGAAACATGGGTGGAAACCTCTGGAAAATACGGTGGTCTTCCAGGTCCCGGTTGGTTTCCTTTGCATAAAACCAATGTACCTACATATACAATAGATATATATATATATGCTGACCCCCCCCCCCAGGTACCCCAGTTTGGGCTTGGTTCAGATGTGCTTTGACCGCGGAATTGTGTTACATAAATGGTGGCTTTACATGATATTTACTGTCTTTTGCTGTACTTTTATGAATCACTGTAACCCTGACTCTTCCACAAAGACTCACGTATCATCTCACACAAAACATGTCTTTTTCAATAACCCTTCTCTACAGACAATTCTTTCATCCTCTCACCAAAAACATGTCTTTTTGCATGCCTTCTTTCACAAGGAATCACATATCCTCTCACCAAACACATGCCCTTTTTCAATGGCTCTTCCACACAAAATTCAATTCACATATCTTCCCACACAAACCCCAGCTTTCAAAGACCCTTCCACAGAATGTTCACATATCATCTCGCACAAAGCATGTCTTTTTAATAACTCTTCTCTACAGAAAATCATTCATCCTCTCACCCAAAACATGTCTGTTTACATGCCTTCGATCACAAAGGTTCACATATCCTCTCACCAAAACATGCCTTGTTTCAAAGGCTCTTCCACAGAAAATTCACATATCTTCCCACACAAACCATGCCTTCTTTCAAAGACTCTTCCACAGACAATTCACACATCCTCTCACCCAACACATGTCTTTTTACATGTCTTCTTTCAATGAAACAAAGTCATCATATGTGAAAGAGTTGCCAGAGAAAGGGAACCCTGTGTAGAATAGAGCCAGGCTATGGCTGGGACAGTTTGTGTTACACAAATGGTGGTTTTACATGATATTTACTGTCTCTTGCTGTACTTTGATGAATCACTGAAACCCTGACTCTTCCACAAAGACTCACCTATCATCTCTCACACAAAACATGTCTGTTCAATAATTTTTTCTACAGAAAATTCACATATCCTCTCACCCAGAACACGTCTTCTTTCGCAAATGTTCACATATCCTCTCACCAAAACATGCCTTTTTTCAAAGTCTCTTCCACAGAAAACTCACATCCACAAAGACTCACCTATCATCTCTCACACAAAATATGTCTTTTCAATAACTCTTTTCTACAGAAAATTCACATATCCTCTCACCCAGAACATGTCTTCTTTCGCAAATGTTCACATATCCCCTCACCAAAACATGCCTTTTTTCAAAGTCTCTTCCACAGAAAACTCACATATCTTCCCACATAAACCATGCCTTCTTTCAAAGAGTCTTCCACAGAATGTTCACATATCATCTCACACAAAGCATGTCTTTTCAATAACTCTTCTCTACAGACAATTCTTTCATCCTCTCACCAAAAACATGTCTTTTTGCATGCCTTATTTCACAAGGAATCACATATCCTCTCACCAAACCCATGCCCTTTTTCAATGGCTCTTCCACACAAAATTCAATTCACATATCTTCCCACACAAACCATGCCTTCTTTCAATTGCTCTTCCACAGATAACTCACATATCTTCCCACACAAACCATGCCTTGTTTCAAAGACTCTTCCACCGAAAAATTCACACATCCTCTCACCCAACACATGTCTTTTTTACATGTCTTCCTTCAATGAAACAAAGGCAGCACATGTTAAAGAGTTGCCAAGGAAAGTGAACCCTGCGTAGAATAAAACCAGGCTATGGCTGGGACAGTTTGTGTTACACAAATGGTGGTTTTACATGATATTTATTGTCTTTTGCTGTACTTGTATGAATCACTGTAACCCTGACTCTTCCACAAAGACTCACATATCATCTCACACAAAACATGTCTTTTTCAATAACTCTTCTCTACAGAAAATACACATAACCTCTCACCCAGAACATGCCTTCTTTCACAAAGGTTCACATATCCTCTCATCATGCTCCGCAAATGTTGCGCAACATTTGGAATTTGTTGCGCAACATTTCCCTGGACCAAAAAACCAAAAACCAAAAAAACAAAAAAAACAAAGAATCCCAGCCATGGTGGGGGCTAGGATTGGGTTTTTGTTTTTTTTGCTTTTTTGTTCTTTGTTTTTTTGGTTTTTTGGTTTGTTGGTTTGTTGGTCCACAAAATGGCCTTGCAGAAAATGCATGAGTTCAATCAAAATTCACTGTAAATATCAATGGTTTTGATACATGATGCAACACCACCTGGGTACTGGGGGGGGGTACCATATATATATATATATATATATATATGTATGACCCTCTCGCCCCGCAAGCCCTGGTTTCCCATTGTCCCACTATATGCAAACGCAGAAGGTGTCCGATTATCCGGGCAAATGACTCTAGACACCTAAAATAAGTATACCAGTAAGATTCAAGGAAGAAGCCATCGTCACGTGTGCGGCTTCGCAATCAAACAAATGTACATATGTCGTGAAGATATGACTTAGGTGGCCTAGGCTAGGTATATAATTGGCCTACAAACATCCCGCTCTTCGCCAAGTTGCCCTCTTCCTTTGGCCTTTGAGACCCCGAAGCTCCTCCAATGCCAATATGCACCCTCAATACGTACTGTAACCGAGAGAAAGTGGATCTAAGGAGACTTCGGATAGCAAACCACCTCTTTAAATAGAGTTGAACAAACAAGCAAGCAAGGAAGACACCAGTTCTTGAAGGTCCCCTAAAACAAACTAAAGCGGCCTATTTTTTGGGAAGCCAATACTTCAGACTCATGCAACCAATCATGACTCGGTCGCTAGTCGAACCGTTCGGACTGCGGCACGGCCTTGCTGACTGTGCGATTCCTCGGGCCCAAGACTCGGGTCACATGGGGACCCTGCCACAACAACCAAAGGACATGACTGACAAATGAGGTCTTTGGAAAATATGAGAACAGCAACAGGAAACCACAGACTGAATCCTGTGGGAAGTTGTAGTTATTGAATTGGTCTGTGTCACAACGCGAACTATCACCTACAAATGAGCATAAAGTCATTGCGTTGTTCTTCCTGGGCCACCCAAACACTCAAGACGCCTATCAAGTTTTACAGGTGCGGGTTCCACTTTTTGGACACCTCGAGGAAGACTTCACGGTTCTCTTGTTGGGGGGCAAACACCACCCTGCGTTTAAGTCTACCTTGGGGGAATCCAAAAAATGGAACCCTGTACAGGTGACAGGTGTGTCTTTTTTAAGGGAGCCCCATGGTGGCTTTCCATTGAAGCAGCTAGAACCTGTGGCATCCCATGGCGTCTCCACTCCTCAGTCCCAGTCGAGAAGAACATGGGTCTGCCTTTTTTGTGGGTATCCCGTTTTTGGGGGTCCCCTAAAAGACACACCCCCGGAGGAAACTTAGAGCTCGGTCCTTCGTGTCTGTTTGTTCTTCTGCTTGGAACATCAGAAACTTCAGGAAGGGGCAGTACCAGGCTTGATGCAATATTTCGGTGCCTATCAGTGATAAGTGCGGGGAAGCACTCCGTACCAACCCTGTCCCGGACCATTTGGTGCATCGCTTAGGTGGGGATGTACCCCCTACTCCAAATACCAGTCGATATTTTTTAGTTGTCATTCTTTGAACAACATGCTTTTCCTCGTTCATGCAGCATATTTTTGAAGCCTGGGCTTCTTGAAAGCTAAGGCCCGGGCCTCTTTCCCGCTGCCAGC